TGATGACACCACACAGTGGAGGTTCTTGGCTCAGCCACTGGTCCAAAACCAAAGCCATGAGCACCAGAAAACTTTCACCAAAAGTTCTCCTATTCTAGAAGTTAGGGATAGAGTGCTCCAGGGGGTGCCATACAAGCTCAGTTTGAGACCTGTCACTATAGGAAAACAGCCCTAGGTATTTGTGGGAGATTGGTTCCAATACTTCTCAGTACTTGAAAGTAAATACGCCAACCCAAAGATGCTGTATTAGTTATTTTTCTGTGACTGTGATAAAACACCATGACCAAAAGCAACTGGCAGAAGAAGGAATTCACTTGACTTCTGATTGAGTCCATGATGGTTTGGGGGTCTTGGCAGCAAGGGGTAAGCGTGGCAGCAGTAGCAGGAAGTTGAGACCTCACATCTTCAACTCTAAGCATGAAGCAGAGAGGGACCTGGAAGTATGGGAAGGCCATGGAATAGCAAAGCCTTCTCTCAATGATATACATCCTCCTGTAAATGTACCACCTAAATCTCCCCAAACACTACCATCAACTAGGAACCAAGTTTTCAAATACCGAAGTGTATGAGGATATTTCTCATTCAAAGTATCACAGATGCTCATCATTTACATAAAATGATGTCATATTTGCATGCAACCTGTGCCAATTCTCTTGTGTATTTAAAATCATTTTTAGATTAATTACAGTAGCTAATGAGATACAGATGCCATGAAAATAGTTGTACTCTATTATTTAGGGGATACTGGCAGGGAAGAAGGTCTGTGCATGCTCAGAACACACATAGTTTTCAAATAAATATTTTCAGTACATAGTGGGTTAATTCTGGATGCAGAGAGCTTACCATTCTGCCTTCCTGGTCTCTAATGGTGTGATGGTTAATTTTATGCATCAAAATGGCTAGGATATGAAGTTCTAGTGATTGGGCAAACAGTGGCCTATAGGTTGCAGGGAAGGTATATTTTTCAAGATTTAAAGCAGACTACTTTTTTATAATGTGTGTGGCCTCATCCAGTCCATTGATGGACTTAACAGAAATGAGGCAGTCCTCTGGGGAGAGCCTCTGCCTTCAGACTGCCCTAGAGTTCAAGACCGCAGGATTACTTCCTACCAAACCTTGAGTACCCTAGACTGCTTCGCAGGGTCAGGCTTGCCAGTACCCACAGTGTATAAGCCACCCATCTCCTTTCTTCTCATGCACACAAGTATTTCCCAGGAGCTCTGTTTCCCTGGAGATCCGTGGGGTAACGTGAGATTCTGATCTCTGAGGTCTCCTCACTTGCCTAAGCTCAACTGCATGACCTGACTCCAGCTGGGCCTCAACTGGCTGCTGTCCACAGGCAGGAATTAGCACAAACATGAAAATTAATCTCAACCTAGGGCTTAGAGAATTAGTGGAGGATTTGGCGTTTCATAGATACAACTGATTTTCAACAGTCATTTAGTTGTAGATCATTCCTTTTCATTAAGGCCACTTTATTGAAGAATTTGAGCTTTCAGGGGCAGGGAGAAACCAGATGGGCTTTAACGTCAATCCTCACACTGTTGTCGTCTGTAGACTTTGGGGAAGTCACTGAGCCCTCACAAACTATGCTTTCCCTGTCAACAAAACTGTGATTTTTCTTTTTCTGGCTTTGTTCCAGATAGCATCTTGCTACTTGTTCAGGCTGGCCTTGAACTGGGAATCTTCCTCTCTCTGCCTCTTGAGTGCTAGGACCACAGGTGTGTAGCACCATTCCTGTATTTCTAGGTGGCACATCCAAAGTAATTGTTCCCACAAGGTTTGTGATAGGTGCTGGGCAAGTGGTACCTTTATTGCTGTGATGTCACTTAATCATGGGCACCCAGGGAAGATATTCTTGCTAACTGGTGTTTGGGTGACGATTTTCTGGTTAATTTTAAATTTATGCTAATGAGGCAGAAATAGCACAACCAACAGCAGTCAATATGTCAGTATGATTATTCTAGGAAGGAGCTAAGTACA